GGGGGGGGGGGGGACTGTTCAGCCATTTGTAGACATACAGGAGTATTTTGAACTGGATTCGAAGGTGAACCGGTAACCAGTGCAGTGAGGCCAAAACTGGTGTAATGTGCTCTCTTTTGCCTGTACTGGTTAAAAATTGGGCTGCTGCATTCTGGACCATTATCTCACTCCACAGCGCAGAGGTGCACCAGAGATGGGCTTGTTTGGGCCCTCCTAACCAGTGGTGTAGTCTACATTTTGGTAGTGGGTATACTGCGCTTACAAACCAAAGTACATCAGTTAGTACAATGTAATCGTCAATTTATTTAGATTTTTAAGCGTATTGAACATTTCCAAATTCCTCTGATGCTTATATTTGAATAAATGTACAACAAACTTTGTACAACAGTTGGCTTTGTATTAAAAACATGTTATATAATTTATAAAACAGTCTCAAAGCAAAACATGTTCAAGTATTAAGTAGTAAGTACAGAAGTATACAATACTTTGCTGGATAAGTGAATGTTATAAACAAGCGCTGCATACCGATAGATATTAGATTAAATTAGATTAGATTAGATTAAACGGAAGCGTTTAACTGCCGTTTAATGTATCAATGACAAGTGCCTAATGATATGTCATGTATCATTGGGCACTTTTAAGTGGGTACACTGAAATTCTTAAGCTTTTCTAGTGGATATACTCTGTATACCCGTGTATCGCTTAGACTACACCACTGCTCCTAACTGACTGTGTTCATTCAGAAATTAAACTGAGGAGGCCAGAAGGTGTCTCAGTCTGGGTGTAGTGAAAGAGCTTTTTTTTTTCTAAAAACTGAGGCAGTTCAGAGAACTACAGCAACAGGTAAATTATAAACTTTTTATGACCTTTCCACTAGTTAAAAAAAACATTCAATACAAAAACAACTGGACTTTATTTGTAACAGAAGACGTTTCGCTCCTCATCCGAGGAACTTTCTCAATTCAAAGATCAGAGAGTGAGGGGTTCAGGTTATAAGGTTGAAAACCTGAACCCCTCACTCTCTGCTCTTTGAATTGAGGAAGCTCCTCAGATGAGAAGCGAAACGTCTTCTGTTACAAATAAAGTCCAGTTGTTTTTGTATTGAACGTTTTTTTGAATTTATCATGTCCTGGATGACTGAGAATCTTCACCAGCACTTTCCACTAGTGTTGTAGTACTCGAGACCAGTCTTGGTCTTGAGACTGGTTTCAAGACCACTTTTTGATGGTCTTGGTCTTGTCTTGGACTTGACTGCATTTGGTCTCGGTCTTGTCTCAAACATTGAGGACTTGGGATTTTATTTCAAGACAAGTCAAGACCACAACTGTAAAAATGTCACTAAATTTCCAGAATATTGTCCAGTTTATTTTTTAACATCCTTGTTTTTATTGGATGCAAAACATATTAATTCAAATCCAAGCGACTCATTGCTAAATACTTCTTTTGTTACCGCTGTCACACCCATCCCTTTTTCACTCGCACGCTTCACTCCCAGTGTGGTCAGATTGGGCGGTGTACTGCCAATTGGGCGGATTTCATTCTGATTTTGCTGGGAACTCTGGGAAGATTTTTGTTGGATTGTTGCATTTTGCCACATATTGTTAAATTACCTTGGCTTGCACTGATGTGCGTTCAAGTGCAAACAGTAAATATATTGTAACAATATATTGACTGGGTGGATTTTTGTCTTATATGATGTTTTTTAACAGATTTTTGGGCTGGAAAACCTCGACTATCTGGCAACACTGGTCACTCCAAGAAAATGAGAAGTGTTTGATTTTCTGGGCACGGGAGAAGATGTCTGCCAAATTATCAGTTATAAAATTTGTCTATTTAAATCACAAAGAATATACTTGTAACTAATATCCCTTTATGTAACTTTTTTAGGTGTATATCTACTAATTTATTGAAACCACTGTGCAACTATATGGTTATCCTTGGTCTTGAGCTTGGACTTATGAAGAGTGTTTGGTCACTGCAGTTTTTTAAGGCTTGGCATGTGATGAAACTGCTTCCAATTTAACAGTTGTGTAGTTTTATTGTTGAATCACATGAAGTTAGGCCACTGAATGTCTGATTTCTTTGTTAGGAAGCTTTAAAAATTTATAAAAGCTAATACATTTATTCAAAAGCAAACTTAAAGTTGCAGTATGTAACTTTTCTAAAAAAAAAATTATAATAAAATGTTATATTTTATTTATTTTATTGGAGATCTTGGTCTCGACTTGGTCTCGGACCCTAAAAGTCTTGGTCTTGTATCTGTCTCGGTACATTCTGGTCTTGGTTTTGACTTGGTCTCAGGTTAGGTGGTCTTGACTACAACACTACTTTCCGCTAGGGGTGCACCGATTGCAGTTTTCTGGCCGGTCACCAATCACCGATCTCCAAAAAGTCTGACCTGCCGATTCTGATTTTGGTCAATACCAAATTTGTTTTATAAGCGACACTCTCAGGTGTTATAAGGTCACATCAATGCACCTTCAATTTTTCAATATTACTTTATTGAAAAACATACCCTTGAGCAATATCCTAGAAACAATACAAACTTGTTTTAATGAAGTAGTGTTCTGAAATATAAATGAAGTTTACACAATTGTTGTTAAAACTACAAAAAATTGGTAAAATCGGTTTCTCATTTAAGTATCGTCCGATCTCCGATTTCCCAAAATTAAGGAAATTGGGGCCGATAAATCGGGGCTGATCAATTGGCCGGCCGATTTTTCGGTGCACCACTACTTTCCACAGAACCTTGCTTTTATAAAATCAGAACTACCTCTTTTAAAAACTGTCATTTCGTACACAATACTGTTAGAGTGTCCTTTACAACCAAATAGCCTGCAGTCAAATGCACATCGTGTAAAATCTTCCAATCTTTTCACACCTTTTCCACAGTCACCTACCTCACAGGCTCCGACTCCACCTTGGAAAGAGTTTGTGCACATCTCGTTTTCACGGACACGACCCCTGAAGTATTTGTTGCATTCCTTGTTGCTAATAACGGGCAAATGTGCCACATTGAGGACAGTCTCGTTTCCAGTCCCTACAAAATCATCAGAAGACGGTAATTGCAAGCAATGTACTTAAAATTCAAAGAAACCAAAAAAAGGTACCGCAGATGATCGATCATGGAAAAAGCAACGCAGTCTGGTACTAATCAGTCTGGATAACTCCTTCATGCATGTTATATTACTTCAAGGGCAGAGAAAAGATGCTTAAACAAGTACCATATTTTTCAGACTATAAGGTACACTTAAAATCCTTTAATTCTCTTAAAAATCGACAGTGAGCCTTATAATCAGGTGCGCCTTATGTATGAATTCTAGTTGTGCTTACTGACCTAAAACAGATTTTATAAGGTTATTGTGAATGAGTTGAATAAAATTTGACTTATTTGACTGTTTTGTTTCGCTTAATGCACCTTATAATCCGGAGCGCCTTATAGTCCGAAAAATACAATCTATTTTCATATATCTTTTGGCATATTGTAGTTGCAAGAAATGCGATGTCTCTTTGCCATCGGGTCAAACGTACCTTTTGTGTCACCCCATCCTGCAATCTCACATTCAGTCGCCTCAGGCACTATGTATCGCTCAGGAGGGAGACAGATCTGAGAGACCCGTTCATTGAACTGGGCAGGGCTGGAGACAGAAAGGAAACAGAGAAAATCATTGTCATGATGTGCGTGTTGTGTGTCTCTGTGTGAGTGTGGGGCTGTTGACAGCACTCACTATTCCAGTTGTAGCATGACCAGCTGAGACTCAGATGGTCCACACACGATCTTAGTGAGAGGGATGGTTTGCACGCCGGGCTCTTCTTCTTGTGGGTCACGGAAAAGTGTTCCCATCATGGCAGTGTACCCGGGCAGATCCACATAGCTGTGCAAACCAGGACACTTGAAGATATTAATATTTGTCTCAGGGATATTGTGCTGATCATTCATACTAAAATAAGGAAAACAAGTTTTTTTGGTTAAAAACTTAAAAGCTGAGGCTCTGCTCAGATCTGTCACGAAATGACATCCTGTGATCAGGACTGGAATCAAACAGGGACAAATACTGGTGTGCACTGAAAAAGTTTTCTCTCAGACGACCTTCAGCGGTGGTCCAGACCCCTTCTATCTCTGTTTAGTAGTTTGACCTTGGGAATATTTTGAAGATTCAGCTTTTTTTGGCTAAACATTCTGATAAACTGTTTACCAGAACCCAGAATAAAGTTGTCTCTTTTGTCAGAATTTCATTAATCAGAGTGGATTACCTGGGGTTTCCTATTATGTTCATTGTTCTGATAGTTTTAGAGCTGGTGGGATTTTTACAGAAACATCAGCCGGCTTTATGTCCTTTTAATTGTTGATCATTGTTCATATCTTGGATGTTATCATTGTTTTTCTTTTACATTTTATTGTTGGATGTAACTGGGACCCTGTGTACATAATTTCGCTCCACCACATGTACCACATGAGGTGCGAATGACAGTAAAGAATCTCTGACTTTCACTCTCTGACTATCTGCACACAGAGGAGGCAACTCATATCTGATGCCAAAATGTTTTGGGGTAGCTGACCCTTTAGGATCAGATCACCCAGTTGTAAAGTGCAAGGTGCAGACAGGGACTTAGTCCATTGTCAATATAAATGTAAAAGATGACATCATTATCATGTCTAAACAACAAAAAGGAAGCAAGAAGCAGACAGATTACAAAAACACCCAAAAGTCTTAAAACAACCAGAGTGCTATTCCCAAAGAAATCCCTACTTATTAATTATACTGAAGTCTAATTTATAAAAGTGGGCCTGCGAGGATCTTTGCTTTTAATCAACAAGAGTTTGAGCTGAAAGATTCAAACTATAAAGAAATATTAACTCTTTGAAATGATAAACAAAGTCCATGCTCAATAATCCAGGGATACAATCCAACAATTTTCAGTCAGGTCATCTGGACAGTTTCTTTTTTATTTTGTGCTGAAATGTGTCACCTTCCATCCAGAAGGCTTCATCAGTCAAGGGAACACACAACACAAAATTGATTCTTTCCACAACAGCTTACTCCAAAGTGGAACAAACCAGTTATGTTGGTGCTAAGATGGTGTTTTTGGCACGCCCCCTCCTCTGGTATCACGATATATATCACCTCTGCTGCTATTATTTTGAATTTGTGTAGAAATATTGAGTTAGATTCACAGCTGAGAGTTGTAGAAAAATAAAATTAAAACTCTAGTTTCTAGAAACATGACCAGACTTTATGTAAGCAAGAAACTGTTGATTTTGCAGAGGCTTGTTTGTTTTTTTTTTACTGTGAAATTCCTAAGTTGCACAATCGGACAGAACTTGGTTCAAACTGTGACACCAGTAGATGACAGTGGCCCTTTTGGTCACATCCTTGTCATCACCAAATTGCAGATGGTAGTTTTGTGCATTTGGATCAACAATTTACTTAAAATTAAACTCACTGATTCCAAGAGTGTCAGTATTGTCTTCATGATTTATTTTAACCAGTAAAAATGTGACTGGTCAGTTTGCATCACTGGCTCAGTTTAACTTGGTATTAGAACTTTTATCAGGATTTTCCTGCCACCGAAGGAGGCAATAATGTTTTTGCCCATGCCGGTGGGTTCATTTGTAGTGTTAGCAAAATATCTTATCAACCAGACAAACTTTAATGAAACTTGCAAAAAAGTAATTATTGGTGTAAACATCTGCAATTGATTAACTTTTGAAGTCAATGAGAGTCAATATGGCTGCCGCAGCTTACTGATCTTAAAAACCATAAGTCAGTAAGTTGTACAAACATTAGGGTGATATTTGATGTGGTAGTAGCAGAGAGTCATCTCCAACACATATTCTGAGCCTGACATGCATAACACTGTGCATTACTCTCAAGGTTGGATTACAACAGCTTCACCTCCATCATTCCCTGAATACAACTAAGATGTGTTAATGTGGTCAAACTTTTCTTAACTTTCACGACGCCACACTGTGAAAATCTAAAATCCGAGTGGCTGTTTAACTACCAGGAAGAGAAACACTGCTTGGTGCTGATCACCCATCGGGGATTCACCAGAGACCCTCCACAGAAGTGGTTTCCTTTCCTGCACACACAGAGGTCAGGGGTTATTGGCAGCGCAGCAGAGTGTTTTGACAGTCCATCACCAAACACCATCAGCTGCCAGCCGGACCTGTCTCTGAGGCTCACAGTCCACGGAGAATTACCAGGAATGCCATACACGATGCGCAGCCGAGTCGCTGGGAAGCGGTTGTCCCTTTTTCCACATTCACTGAACTCCACCTCCTCTGTGTTCACACAAAGGACAACACATCAGCGCTGAAGACATGTCTGCGGATGTGCGGACACATTCATTCATTTACAAACTGACCTACTGTTTCCGTCAGGGGCACTTTCTCTCCGGCTGTTGGAAGACAACAACAGGTTTGTCAAAATGTCAGATCTTTGACTAAACAGAGTGGAGAACTTAGACACAGAAGAAGCAGGAATATTTACAACACTGTTTTATGGCACAGTAGTCAAACTCAGTTTTGGGGTCAGTGGTGTAGCACCAGGGTCCGTGCTGGTCCCCGTCAGGGTTGCGACAATAATTCTCCGTCAGATTGGCCTCAGGGTGTGTCCGTGGGTTTATCCTACAAAATAATAAAATAAAACATCTCTTTGAGGCTTTGATTCTGTCACAACTGTTCCAAATTCATGCTTTTTACAAGATTCTGTTCAGCTATTGATCAACTTTGATTGGTACAGGTTTAAACAGTTTGAATACAAACGCAACGAGCAGAGGCAAATTTATTAACGGTTTTATGATCATTTTCTTTGAGGGGCCTGCTCATTGTGTACAAATGTTGATTTCCAAAACATAAGTGTTTGTAAAGATTAAAAGTTGACAGTACTTGGTCTGGTGAGGCGTGTTGATGTTCCATTTTTGGCAGGCGACACCTTTACGAGTTTTGCGGACAACACCTTTATAGTTTTTTCCATTTTCATGGTAGCAGTCTGAAAATATGAAAGTGATCCGAGATCAGCACAGTCAATAAATACAGCTGCAAATAAATTTTAAAAAGGGACAGGTGTGATGTTTTGTGTTTCACACTGCCTTGAACTACAAAGTAAAAATTACACAACAATCATGAGCAGGAGAGCGCGATTGAGGTAACCAAGTACGTATATTTTTTAAATTAGACCTTTATTTATACAGGTTAGTTCTCATTGAGCCTCGAAGACTTTTTACAAGAAAGACCTGTTACATACAATGTACAGGCAGATGAGAAAAAGAGAATACAAGGGTGGAGGAAGCAAAAAAAATAAAAAATAAAAATCATCTCACACCATGTCCTGGCCGGGGGACAATGTAAAAGATGCAAAAAAATACCTCACAGCATAAAACAGCAACATACAATGACATCATAATACATTTATGTATAGAGGTCGACAAAGACGGTGAGTTGTCCATGGACACTCAGAAAGTTCCAAAGTTCTGATAAGATGGTGCAGTGTCTATCAGCATCATGGTTCTGATAAGGCCATGCACAGATGTCCTCAGGAGGGAAAGGGGGGCAGGCATATCTTCTAGTTTACGTATCCTCCAGGAGCAATTAGAGATAAGTTGGCCTGTCCAAGGTCAGCGGGGAGGCCACATTCAGATAAACAACTGTTTTGGCTGCCAGACTCTGTTTTCTGTCTGCCTTCAAGTTCTGCTGGTACACTCATTGGTGAATCCAAACAGCCAGATTTGTGGACATTCCGCCCAGTCTGTGATCATTATAGCATTCTCCAAGGTCCAATCCTTCATGCTGATGAGTTCCAGGTGCTGCAAGTGGCCTACGATTCTCAGAAATTGCGTCCAGCTTGCGGTTGAGCTCGGTAAGCATATGAGTCTGAGCGCTCGAGGCACAAATTAATCCTTCACATAAGGCTGGCAGCTTTACCATGGCTAAAACTGCTGCCGATGTTTTCCTAATTTGTCAGTATCCTAGATATCCACTGATTCTAAAAAGCAGAAACCGTGTTATCATAAATCCAATAATGTACACGTCTTCTACGTCCTCCACGGACAGCACAGATAGGCACATCTTCTTCCACTGCCCCCAGGAATCCATGACATATCCAGCTGCAAGGGTCCATTCAGGGCATGAGGGGCTCTCCAGCACCAGGTCATCTGGTGGAAAAAATGTCATCAATTGCACTGAGGGACCAGCTGATCAAATCCATAATAATTTTCGATTTGGAAGATGTGCAAAGAGAAACTCTGAGATTGACAGGACAAGAGAGGAAAAAAAGCAGGAGAGAGGGTGAGAGTGACCGTCTTTGCCGAGAGCTAACGAGAGAATACTGTTTTGTACCATACGTAAAATGGTAAAACTATTAAATAAATAAATAAAGACCTAACATTCCTAGAGTGACAGGATATTGCCTTTTGTTCCAGAATTTTAAACTTAAAAATAATTTTATTCTGAGATGGAGTTTAGCTGTTGTGGTCAAACCCTGGAAATTATGTCATCAGAAGATCTGACAAGATGCGTTATAGCTCCTGACACAACCTGGGCTCAAACCCGCAGCCTCTGGTTTACAAGACTGCTGCACTGACCGCTGAGCCACTGCAGCACCCATGTGTAGAGCTCAGAGAAGGGGATGTGAATGTCTCTGGGCTACAAACAACAAATTTTAACGCTACGTTTGCAAAACTGACCAAGTTACAGCCATTTTTGTGTTTCCTAAGGTCAGCTGGCTGTGGTGGCCATCTTGAATTTGATTTGATTGACTCTAGAAGTTAATTAGTTGTAGATGTACAGTACATCCAAATGGTAAGTATCCATTTGGCGGATCACAAGATACACTACTAATTAAAATTAATCAATATTAAAACTATCTTTGGATCTTCTTTTAACTTTAATATTAAAAATGGATGGGCAGCACGGTGGCGCAACTGGTAGAGCTGCTGCCTCTCAGCGAGCAGGTCCTTGGTTCAAACCTCGGTCCAGGGGCCTTTCTGGGTGGAGTTTGCATGTTATCTCCGTGCATGCATGGGTTTTCTCTGGGTACTCCGGTTTCTTCCCACAGACCAAAAACATGCATGTTAGACTGATTGGTAACTCTAAATTGTCCCTAGGTGTGAGTGAGAGAGTGAATGGTTGTTTGTGTCGTTTGTCTCTATGTGGCCCTGTGATGGACTTGCGACCCGTCCAGGGTGTACCCCGCCCCTCGCACAGTGATTGCTGGACATGGGCACCAGCGACCCCCGTGACCCAAAATGGAATAAGCGGGTAAAGATAATGGATGGATGGATTAAAAGTGGATTCTTCTTTGTGTTTCAAACTAAATTAAGACGTCTCACCTTCAACTTCTATGTCATCGGCACAACGTTTGATCTGCAAGCAAAGGGCCGTTCTCCTATCCTGAAGTGATGTGAAACACCACGGAGCCTCGGATCCATCTGGGTTGCGGCAGTAGTTCTCTTCCAAACCTCTGGAAGTGATGATGTGCAACTCAGAGTGAGAAATGACACTGAAATAATCTGTTTGGATAGCTCAGAGATGAAGAGATCGCTCTGAACTCAAGGCTAATTTCACTGAATGAAAGGCTGCTAATCAGTGATGACGTGAAGAATGATCACCATGTCACATGTATGATTAATATTCAGATCCATACGCAGCTGCTGACCATCTATCATCTACTGTCAAGTGTCAGCAGAGAATGAACATTCAACTCTTCGACATTAGTTTTCATGTGGCAGCAAAGGCTTTGAAAACACCCAACAATAAAAAGTGACTCACTTGCACTCGTATGTGTTTGGGAAGAAGGGATGCCGATGAGGGGACTGCGCGTCCCACTGCTGGCAAGGGATTCCTGACGTCGTCTCGTTAACTTTGCCGCGGTAATCCTCCCCACGACCACGGAAACAGTTGGTGGTGAAGCTGGAGCGCTGCCTGTTCTTCACCTGGCCTTCAGCTGGAGAAAAGCAGCAAGTTGAAGAGCAACAACCACAGAGCTGTCACAGGTGTGGTAACAGAAATGGTTGTTAAACACATTATTAATACACTTAGAATGATAGGAGACATGAGATAAGGAATCGAGCACCAGTGTTATAATAAAGACCAGGCACATTTTCCATGGAGGCCACAAAAAATTACTTTTTTTGTTAGGAAAACTCATGATGTGTCATTAATAAAACAGCCAGCTCTGCTTAAAATACCTCAAATAGATGCAAAGCAATTGTGAGGTTATAAAATAACAACAACAACAACAAAAGGAAATAAGTAAAAGCTGAAAATAGTCAGATAAAACAGAATTAAAGTTAAAATACGGGGTCAGCCATGCTGAAAAGATGATTTCACCACAAGATGGCAGTATCCTAAATGGGAAAACCAAAGCGATAACGTTTGGGAAAATCCAGCCAGCCAGCCATCCATCCATCCCTTTAAACATTAAATACAAAGTTACAAATTTTAAAATAGGCATTAATTGATAAATTTACATCTGACTCATATTTATCAGGCCACACAGCATAGACAGTATAAATGGACCACACTTATATAGCACTTTTCTATCATATTAAAATACTCAAAGCACTTTACAGCACAATCTGTGCCTCATTTACCCATTCATACAGCACTCTGCTAGATCTATAAAAAGACTAATCAGTGCT